AGGTTCAGGTCCAGGTCCAGTTTCAGGTTCAGGTTCAGGTTCAGGTTCAGGTTCAGGTTCAGGTTCAGGTTCAGGTCCAGGTCCAGGTCCAGGTTCAGGTCCAGTTCCAGGTCCAGGTTCAGGTCCAGGTTCAGGTTCAAGTCCAGGTTCAGGTTCAGGTCCTGGTTCAGGTTCAGGTTCAGGTTCAGGTTCAGGTTCAGGTCCAGGTTCAGGTCCAGTTCCAGGTCCAGTTCCAGGTCCAGGTTCAAGTTCAGGTTCAGGTCCAGGTCCAGGTCCAGGTCCAGGTCCAGGTCCAGGTTCAGGTCCAGTTCCAGGTCCAGGTTCAGGTTCAAGTCCAGGTCTAAGTTCAGGTCCAGTTCCAGGTCCAGGTCCAGGTTCAGGTTCAAGTCCCGGTCCAGGTTCAGGTCCTGGTTCAGGTTCAGGTTCAAGTCCCGGTCCAGGTCCTGGTCCAGGTTCAGGTCCAGGTCCAGGTCCAGGTCCAGGTCCAGGTCTAGGTTCAGGCAGTGATGCTTCACCGACTGGCTCTGCTGAGTCCTTGGTGGGTTCTTCTACAGCGTCCTCAGTGAAGCTCGTATCTGGGCTGAAATCCAAAGAGCTCTCTGGAGTCTCTTCTGGTGCCACAGAGTCTGTGACAGAAGTTTCAGGGACAGGTTCCATCAGGACTTCTAAAGGAACCTCAGCAGTCCCATCTGGAGGTTCCTCTTGCCCTGGTTCCTCCATCGTGGCAGCTTCTGCAGCTGCTGCTGTGGTGGGTTCTGGAGGAACCACAACAGCCCGTTCTGTGGGGAACTCCTGAGCGACCTCCTCTGATGGTGGCTCCTCACCTTTTGGGCTGACGTCTTGAATCAGCTCAGAATCATGTTTAGAAAAGATCTCAAAGATCTCCTCGGGTTCCGTCACATCTGGGACAGTTCTGTCCTCCTGACCCGTCCAGTCGGCGTCCACAGTGACACTAGCTGGTCTCTGTGAAGCCTCCTGAACATCTTCAGCTCCTTCTGGCGGCGCCCCAGCAGCAGGGTCAGAGGTTAAATCCACAGGAACCTCGCTGGAGAACGTGTCAGGAGTCCGAGCGGTGACCTGGAAGCCTGGATGAAGGTCTCGCTGGGTGCTGGTCTCTGGTCCCCAGATGACGGCGTCTCCATCTGTAAAACAACACGGAGGAGGTTAGAGAGAGCCCGACATCCTACAGGGTTCTGGTGAAGCTCAGACCGGTTCTTATGTTCTGGGAGAAACTTCAGAAACTGCTGAAGCAAATCAAAGTGCTTCTAGAAGCTGAAGCAAGAAGAACAAATCAAAACGTGTCCTGTCCTCCCAGAACCGCGGTCCACTGCAGGAACCTCAGAGCTCTCATGGAGGTCCAGCATCAGGGCTGAGAACAGCAGAACCGGTCTGAGTTCTGTTGGTCTGAGCGGTTCTGGAACACGTCCGTGCAGATCTACATGCAGATTGTTTGTCCTCTCGATGTGAACAGCGTAACGTTCTCCAGATGTTCTCTCAGAACAAACCTCCATTGTTCCGTTTACAGACGTCGTTAGTTTAATTAAAAACCACAAACTGTGACGCTGCTGCTCATAAAAACAGTTCTACGTCCTGAGACCAGAACTTTATGGTCTGAGACCGTTTAGGAACCGTTCCTCGGTTCCTCGGTTCCTCGGTTCCTCGCTGGAAGACTTTTCTGTTTGTTCCCCTAAACGGCCTGAAGAGCTGCTGATGTGTAAATAAGTGTTGTTTGTTTGTTTGTTGTGGGCTGAGCAGCACCACGGCGGCGATAACGAGCCTGATCTCAGTGACCCGATGGCGTCCTGCAGGAGCCCGGCCCGTCTGGAGCCCACTGACCAGACTGCTGCCTGTAAATAGGCTTATGGTTCTATTCTGGGAGCCGAGCGTGACGGGAATCAGCCGTAAGACCGATCGGGGTGGAAGGTGACGGACCGCTGTTGTGCAAACAGACGTCTGGAGGGTTTGGTTCTGACAGCAGCAAACACAGCAGCAGAACCGGCGCTGAGACACGCGGCGGGCTGAGGTCCAAACTGCTGGACATGAGACTTTCACACCTTCTGCTTCCTAAGAACTCAAGACAAAGCTGAGATCTGCTGGACCGGACCACCGCGACACAGGCCCGGTTCAGCTGGAGCCTCGTCAGGCTCGTCAGGACTTAGCCAGAACAATACGGATTATCACCGCCGAGGTTCTGGTTGCTGGTTTACTACCAGTCTTGGACAGTTCTGGTCGTCCTGCTGGAGGAGGTCCGACACGCTGTAAAGAAACGCAGCACCTGGTCTTCTACAGCTGCGTCTGCATGTGGCGGGTCAGAACACGAACACATGAACCGACCAGAGAACTGGCAGCCGTCTAGAACCGGCGAGTCCAAGTTTAAACCATTTGCTCATTGCACTGATTCCAACGTGGACCGGACCAGATTACGGGTTCAGGCTACTACAAGTCGCCGCTTAATAGATTAAACAGATTAGAGCCGAGCTGGAAAGTGGACGTTCTCCAGAGATCCTGCTGCTTCCTTTCCCTCCACTGCAGCAAACACGGTGTCACCATCAGCGACTGATCCACCAGCGGAGACCTTACCTGTCCAGGTGAGAAACCAGCTGGACAACACATCAGTTACAGAGGACGCAGCAGTCACATGACCCAACACGCTCTGCTCTGGGCCTGAGCTGTGTTTACCTGTCAGGGAGTCGCTCAGCGAGGCTTCTGATTGGACGCTCGTCGTCTCAGAGCTGCAGAACAAACAGAACAAAACATTCAGAAAACATTCAGAAAACGACCTGAAACAGGAACAAAACCACCGACGGACGAGTCGACGCTTCAGCCGACAGATTCTCCAACACAGCGACGAAAGTCACCGCTAGCTAGCAACCAGACTGAACTCTGATTAAACAACCGCTAGCTAGCAACCAAACTGAACTCTGATTTAAACCCGTTTACTTTCATTCACCTGCATTTAAAGTCCTGGTTTGTTTCACTCTCAGGATTTTAATTTGCTGTTTTCTTCCTGTGAAGCTGGAACCTGTTGCCTTTATCAGGACAGAAGTTGAAGCAAGTCTGACTCTGAGGTTGAACAAACTCATGGAACCAGTCTGATTCGGTCAAAGAGCTAAAACATCCAGAAAGGTTTGACTTGATGGCTTGAAGCTAACAGACGTGTTGCTAGCAGCCGGACATAAAGGAGGACTTCACCTATTTCAGACTTCATGTGTTTGTTCTCCGTTCACATGGAACATCTGCGAGTCCTTAAAACAGCTTTAAATCCATTAAACCTTCTGCACAGCTGGAACATTTTAATGAACGAAAACCACACGACTGTAAAATGTGCAGCGAGATGAAAACAAAACCAGCGACGAGCAGCAGAGCTCAGATTCTCTTCCAGCTTTTCTTCCTCCGTCAAACAGCATCGAGAACAGATTCAGATTTTAGCTGATGCTAACGCCAACATGCTAACACTACTCACTCACTATGAAAGCACACTAACATCTAGCATAGCTGCAGTGCTAAATGTAGCATGTTTGCTCGGTATGTTAGCCTGCTACTGTGTGTCATTTTAACAATATTTGACGTTAGCATTCTAATCGGTAGCTTCTTAGTTTGTTGACTGGTTAAACATTAAACTGACAAAAGGAAAATTATGATAAATTAATTATTAATTAACAAAGCTAAACATGTTGGTCAGTTTCAACTTTAATGCTAACGTGTCTACAGTTAGCTAGTTGACTGCTACCAGATTCAACCATACAACCACACAGAGCATGTTTTAATGTGGTACACTAGCACTAATATTACCATTTAATGTTTAACATGCTAGCACGCTGGTGTGTTGCATCTTAGCTTTCTAACTAGTTTGTTGTTGGTCATAACAATGCAAACATTTAGCATTGTTGTAAGGCTAAATGTAGCATGTTTTGATTGGTATGGTAGCTTGCACAAGTTTTAAATATAGCAACATTTAACATATTAGCATGCTAATGTGTGGCATCATAGATTGTTGAATAGTTAAATACAAAACTAAAAGAAATAATAACAAATATTGGTCAGATTTAATTTTAAAGCTTAACTGGCAGGTGATCAACTTCTGGATATACCAATGCTAACATGCTAAATTTAGCATAAAAACAATGCTAGCCTGGTATATAGTGTGTGTATTATCCAACCACTGTGTTAATGTCCTAACATTCAGTTTAACATGGCAGCATGCTCATGTTTAGCATCTTAGCATTTTGGTTTTTAATGATCTATGTCGTGCTGTTTGTCTCTTCTGTCGAGGCAGACGGCCGCCTCAAGCCTCATTCGTTGGTCGCAAACATAAATAAGAAAAAATAAGTTTAAAAAAACATAATGAATGAAATAAAGCATTTCAAATAAAAACATAACACAAACTAAAATAAAATGATAAAATCGGTAGATATTAATGTGTTCGCTTCGTCTTAACAGCTCTGAGAGTAGAAAGAATGTGTTTAAATCATCTTTAATTACATTTTAATACCTGATATCTAAATGACTCAGTCACATAACTAATGAACGTGTCGGGCTTCCATCTCCATATTTATACTTGTTGGGTCAGTTTGTGATTTCATTTAGTTTGTCTGAGTGTGATGGCTGAGTAGCTGGTTGTGGTTCTGGTTCTGTCTGAGCGCCGGGCTCTGAGGCGGGTGTCGGTGCTAGCAGGCCTACCTGCAGGGCGGGGGGCCTGGCGATTGGGTCACACTGCAGCAGGTGATGAAACACAACACAGGTGTCAATACAACCAGTGTGTTTCCTGGAGCCAATCAGTGCTGATGCAACAATGAACTGAACCGTCAGCATCACGTCTCTAACGTCTACAGACACAAGCTGAGCCGACTGGATGTTCGTAGATCCACAGTCAGCATGTGTCGCTCTGCAGCCACACCATTTATACAAACAGCAAAACAGAGCAGCAAAGGCAGACGCTGACCAACAATGTAACAGCCTTCAGTGGTCTCAGGGTCACTAACTGACTGTTGAAGCTGTTTTAATGTTGTTTACTGACCTGGTTGTCGCCGCTGCCATGGCAACCCTCTGAAATAAACAAGCACATCGTCAGCAAAGAAACTCAGAAACAGTCTGAACTCAGTTCAATAAAACCTGTAGGAAGATGTTCAGCCGTCGTCTAAAGCTGAAGAACATGATGAATGCAGCTAAAATTTCCCACAATTCAAAGTGAATCCTTGAATGAAAGTCAAATCGTTTCAGAAGCTGGAACCTGCAGAACCACATATGGGCCAGATGAGGTTCTGCTGATGAACCAACTGAACTGATCCAATAGTTTGATCAGGGGATCTGTTCTGACTTTACGTCTAAACTCGACATATTGTTTTATAGCGTTGAACTACTTCCTGTCTCTGAACGTACGCTCCTGATGAGGCTGATGTGCTCTTCTGATTGGCTGAAGAAGCTGCCGATGTCATGGACGCCGACGGAGCCGTCGATGCAGCGTCCGACCCACTGCTGGTACTCGTCCCGCTCCGGCAGCCGGTCCCAGAAGATCTTAAAGGCCTCCCACACCGTCTCCTGACACACTGAGACCCACACACACACACACACACACACACACACACACACACACACACACACACACACACACACCTGTAACACATGTTTTCTTCAGAGTGGACCACCTGTAGCGTCTGTGAGGAGGTGAAGGATGTTTCATTCTGGTTCTGTTTCAGTTTCAGGCTATTTTCTGGATCAATCAGCTGTTTGTTTCTAAAATGTCAGAAAATGTTGAAAATGTGGATCATTGTTTCCTCAAACGTCTTGTTTGGTCCAAAGAGCTTCAGTTTACTGTCACAGAGGAAAGAAACCAGAGAAGAATCGCTGCAGAAGCTGAACTCAGCATTTCACTGTTTTTATGAGAAACCACTGATTCCAGCTGAAGTCAAACCAGCACCTCAGACGCTCCATGAATAAATGTAAAAAGAATTACCCATGAAACGACTCGAGCTGATCAACCAGAACAGAATCAGAACAGTGGACCTATAAACGGGTCGCTGGAGGACCTGCTCTCACTCGGAGGACTTTATCGGTCACAATCCGGCTCGGTGCCCTCTGACCTCGGTGGGATCGGCTGCTTCACTGACCCACTTTAAGCTGCTAAGTCTGTTTGGATAAAGAGCTTGAGGAACACCTCCAGGTGCACAAAGAAGCAGCACAACCTCAGAGGAACCTCAGAGGAACCTCAGAGGAACCCGGGCGGACGTACCTCTCAGGTGGAAGTAGCTGAGGTGGTTGGCGGCGGCCTGGTCGAAGGTCTCCTGGTTGCACAGCGTCACTCCGCTGGGAAACAGAATGTTTCTTCTCCTACGGGTCAGCGCCGAGTGTCGTCTGAACGTCAGCTGGTCCGCTTCGTCCACAAACCGCCCAGAACCGTCAGAACCGGCAGCTTCTGTGGACGACAGACACATTCACATCAGAGTTCCGACAGAACCGTCGATTTGTTCTCAGAATTCAGCACAAAGAAAAAAACCAGAGAAGTTTAAACTGCAGACGATTGAACAGAGAATCAAACCAGATCAATGAACGGATCAATAAAGTTCTGTTCAGACGACCCACTTCAGGAAAAGTCTCAAAAGCTAAACCTGCTGCTATGAATAGAGTTCTACGATGTTCTGCTGGAAACCGGGTCCACTGAAGTCGGTCCAGCGTTCTGACTTCACATCAATAGTTCACCGAAAATCTGCAGTCAGGCTGATACGAGTTCAGAGTTAAAGGACTAAACGAACAGAACCAGTGGATCAGAACTGTTCAGGGTTTCTGACGGTGACCCGGTGTCCCTCCGGAGGGCCTCGACCCCCATGTGAGCAGGGTACAAACCCGACAGCAGCGCCGCTCCACACGCCAACAGAACCAGACGCCACATTTCTGCACAATGTCCTCGACTTCAGCTGCTCAGCTCGGGTCCGTCCAGCAGCGCCATGACGTCCTGCTCTGGCCCAAACCCGCCGAGCAGATGGGACTTTAGCGCCGCAGACTGCTTTCCTGCTCGTCTAATCCTATTTGTTAAGCTGCTGCACTGGATGAGTGTCACCGCGGCGACAGCCAATCACAAAGCAGCTGATTACATCGGCAGGAGAACCGACTTCAGAGAACCGGGCGGAGCAGTCAGGTGAGGTTCTACCTGCCAGAACTCCCATCATGCATCAGTGTGCTGCTGATAAGCCGACCCGACCCGAGCGCTCTGACACCAGGTACCACCTCAGAGCTGCACAGGAAGAAGAGACAGAAAACAGACAAATGAACACGTCCATCATCTCTACACCTTAACCCTCACTAGGGGGCGGAGCCTATCCCAGCTGACTCAGGGTGAAGGCAGGTTCACCTGGACAGGTAACCAGTCTATCACAGGGCTACACTTAGAGACAGACAACCAA